GAACAAAAAAAAAAAAAAAAAAAAAAAAAAAGTAAAGCTAACTGCTCTGTATAAGTGGAACCATGCAATAACTGTCTTGTTTCATCATTATTGAGACAGGAACTATGTAGTTCCAGTTGGCCTTGAACTTGCAATGTCGCCCATGCTGTCCTCAAACTCACCATCTTCCTGCTTCAGTCTCTCAAGCACAGGGACTACAGGCTTTCTCCACCCACACCTGGCTAATTGGTTTTTTTGTACCTGGTTTATTTCACTTAGCATAGTATCCTCCAGTTTCACTCATTTGTTGTATGTGTCAGAATTTCTTTTCTCTTTTTTTTTGGTACTGGGGATCGAACTCAGGTCCTTGCATTTGCAAGGCAAACGGTGGAACCACTGAGCTAAATCCCCGGCCAGAATTTCTTTTCTTTCGAAGGCTAAGTAATATTCTATTGTACCATGTACCACATTGTGTTTAGCTACAGCTATTGAGGGACACTGAGGCTGCTTCCATCTTTTATCTATTGTGGATGCAAACATGGATGTATAAATAATCGTTCGAGTCCCGCTTTTAATTCCTTTGGGTACACACCCCGAAACAGAGTTGCTGGATCATATGGTGAATCTATGTTTAACACTTTGAGGACCTGCCAGACTACTTGCCATGGCAGCTGCAGTGTTTTACATTCTCACTAGCAACGTGCAAGGGTTACGATTTCTCCACATCCTCACCAACACTTTCCTTTTAAAAGCCATTCTAATGAGTGGAAAAGCAGTCTCACTGAGGTTTTGAGCATCTTTTCATGGGCTTATTGTTCATTTGCATAGAATCTTTGGGGGATGTATATTCAGATCCTTTGCCCATGTTTTAATTGGGTCTTTCTTTTGTTACTGTTAGCAATGATATTTTGCTCAACTCAAATTAACAATAATTGGTTCTTTATGCCTTGTTACTAGGAAAAAAAAAAACCACAACAAAATACAGAGAAAAAATTAGGTTCTCTTTCATCTATGGAGCAAAGAAATATCTGCCCTTTACAAAAAACAAAGGAGCACTTGGATGGAGAACTACACATGCCCTCAACCTTCTTCCTCCTCCCACGCCTGTGATCAGCAGTTAAGTCCAAGGGATCCAATAGCTTGACTCAGGTGGTCAGAAGAGCAAGGCAGCTGAACAGTGGCAGGCAACTCCCCCCGCCCCCAGTACAGTCTCAGGTCTAACTTTCAGACATCGGCGAGAGAAGAGCTTCCCAGTCAGTCAGACATGCTGCTATGGCGTACTCATAGATGTCCCCCAAAGCCTCATGCACTCTCACAGGTGGAGCTTTTGGGAGGTGGCTGGATCATGGGGGTGCGATGCTGGGTTACTGGTGTGATATCTGGATTAATCCACTGTTTGGTTGAGCATTCTTCTGGCTGTACATAATGGGAAGGCCCACACTGGTTGTGGGTGGCACCAACCAATGGGCTTGTAGCTTGGATGGAACAAAAGGGAAAGGAAGGCTTGTTGCTTCCTTCCACCTAGCAGCCATGCTATGGACTGTTTCTCCTCTGCCAGGCTCCTCTGCCATGTTACCCTGCCTTGGAGTCAGCTGACTACAGACTGAAACCTCTATAAACTGTGAGCTAAAATAAACCTTCCCTCCTTTAACTTGTACCAGATATTTTGTTCCAGAGACAAGAAAGTAACTAAGACACATGTGCTAGACATGCTGCTCATCTAATTATCCACTACACAGCCTCCTGGTAGAGGAAGATGAATGGCGGTGAGCTCAGACTATCCAGAAGGGCAACACCCTTTATGAAAAAAGTAATTTCTATTTTAATTTTATTTTTTGGTGCTGGAGATGGAACCCAGGTCCATCCATGCTGACCAAACTACACCCCTAGCTCTCTATTTTTTTGTGGTTGTTTTCATGCTAGGCACTGTGCTATGAGGCACAAAAACAAACAAACAAAAAACCAAAAAACTACAGTGCATGTTTATTTTAAAAAATTAATAACAGTGAAAGATGTTAATATTAACTCCCCTCAAAATACTGCCCCTCACTTTGATCACATTTATCGTATTTTTCTTGCTCCTTTCTGAAACAGTTCTGGAAGCCCTCTTTTATATATTGGCCTCTGTCCTAAATTGATTCAAGATATTTATGCCAATTTCTGTCGAAAACATTATGCTGTGTTCTCATCCATCTTATTCACCAGATCTGGCACTGTAAGACTTCTGGTTCTTCCCCAAAGTCAAAATGACCATGAAACACAAATGTGAATCAATTCAGGACTTCAAGGAAGCCACAGTGGTGCAACTAAAGACATCAAAGAGGATTTCCAGAACCGCTTCACAGACTGGTATGAAAAATGGAATCAGTGCATTCAAAGCAAAGGAGAACATTTTGAACAGTGTGTCTTTTACTGTAATAAATTTTTAAAAATTAAACATCCACCCAAGTTTTTGTCACACCTCATAAATACTATATTTTTTAGAAACTCACTTAATCCCCCCAACATTTTATGGTTGACGGCCTTTTATGTCCATTCTACAGATGGGTCAATTGTGACTTAGAGAGGTTGACTGACAGCCCAAGGTCACAGGGCCAGCTGCAGTACCAAGGTTCAAATGCAAGTGTATTGGATTTTTTTTTTTTTCTTGGTACCGGGGATCAAACTCTGGACCTTGTGCTTACGAGGCAGGTGGTGGTACCACTGAGCTAAATCCCCGGCCCTTAGTGGGTTGGATTTTAAGCTCAACGCTGAGCCATCTCCCCTCAGATCACATCCATGTCCTTAAAGTTGGCACAGTCTGACGCACCTTCCCCAAGTCTCCTCTCCCCACTGGTCATACTTGGCACCTCACCCCTGCCTGCTTTTGTTGCAACCTAAAATAGCACTTTTTTTTTTTTTTTTTTTTTTTTTT